GTAAAGATAGTAAAGAAGATCTATAAGGTCAGTTTCTGTACTATCTTAAAGAGTCTTGATCTCACTTGTCAAATAAGTAGTAAGATAATTAAGTAAGATACAAATATTGGTAATCTTCTTTTCAACTTAAGACAAGATAGTATGAACTGAACTTGATAAATAAGAAGATTTAAACAGATTATTCTTGACAGAATCTGTTTTGAATACAAGATTTATAATCTTGACTTCATGACTTGATACAGAATGATGATATTTTATAAAAAATTCTTTAAGAACAGAAGTGGTCTTGATGATGATGATATTTAGTAGCTTTAGGGTCAAGCCTATAAAATTCTTGCATAAGTATGCTTATGTACTTAATGTTATAAGACAACACAAATTGACTATATCAAAACTATAATACTCTTCTTAAAGACATAAGAGCTGACAAACAACTTTGATAACAGATATGAATTTGATATTCTAGATAATGCACACAAGATTCTTTATCAGTATTCTATATACATAATTCAGACTTATTCAAACAGTTTATGAATATTAAGTATATGTAGATAGAACATAGAAGAGCATCTTCTTTATTATAAAGAACAGAATCTTTTAATAATAACATTGTAATAAGCTAAAGATTAAAAGAAATAACAATACTTATATTCAGACAAAGTAGAAGAAAGAAAAGAAGAAAGAAAGTGAAGAACTTTTTATTTATACTTATATTATAATGCACTAAAGTTGCTAGTTCTATAACTTGTTAATAGATAATGTGACAACAGCCAACAAGCAATATAGTAATCAGACAGATAAATAAATAAAGAAATAAGTATATGATAAAATGCTGAACTTTTATAATAAAACAATTACTGTTCTACAATAAAAAATGTCTACTGCAACCAGTAGTAATACATATGCAGAATATCTATATAGATAAGCAGTAGAAATGTAAAAACTTGCACATCTAAAAATTTATAATACTTCACTAATAACAGAGAAGCTACAATAATAATGTACAAAAAACCACTTTAATAGTTCTATGCCTCAAAGTCTGAGACCTCTAGAGGGGGAGATAGTGTTATGAATGTAGCTATAGATTAATCAAGCATCAGATAATATCAGATATTCAGAAGTATTTATATGACCCTGACTCTAAATATATAAGAAACACACAATTCACATAAATTATGGAAACCTTAGCATTCAGTCTTCTAGTTAGAGAATCTTTATATTTTATGCATGACTTTCTTCTATTAGTTGTGAGCATTGAACTTACTTAGCTCTTTTGTACCTCTTCCTGAAAAAACCTATGTAATCTATGACTAGTTCTCCTAACACATACTAGAATTTAGTAGAGATTGGTCAGAATTTGCAGAAATCAATTTGGTTTAGCTATATCAAGAATATCAAGTTGATAGAGCTGATTTAGTGCTGGCACAAAGCCTGGGGAGCAAAGATCAGATGAGAAGAGGCAAGAAGATAAGATAAGAGTAGATAAAATTAAGATAAGAACTCTAGCTTTCTTAACACACCTTAACATAAATGTGAGTAAGCAAGAGTCTTATCAAGAAAAATCAAAATAAAAAAGTGTTCAGTAGGAGATTTTTCAGATAGAAATAGTATAATAACATAACAAATAATAAAGATATAATAAAGTAAATTTGATAATTTGTATAAAGAGTGCTATTAAGGTTATTTCTCAAATTTCAGATGAAAATATCATGTGGTTGCTGAGTAATAGTGTGAGAAGTAATTCTGACAGGCGTGAAGCTGGCACCATTTATTTCCACTTATATCTCAACAACTTGCAAGGCAAATCTACTGAAAATTAAAAGAATTCTTAGATAGAGCAAAAGCTTTCAAATGAATGTAGTTTTGTTTAATTTGAACAAGAGTTGACTGTAAAGAAGTTTTAAAAGCTTCTGAGTAAATTCTAACAGAAAAGCTATTAAGTAGTCTTTATAGTCACTAACTGCATAAGACTATAATAAATAATAATAATAATAATAATAATAATTATGGCAGATATCTTCTCAAACTTTCTTTATTTCTTTTGCATAAGTTCTTTACAGTGCTTCTGTTAGCACTTTTTAATAAAAGCCATTTATTTTTCTTCTTATTGTACTTTATTATATATTTTCTTTCCAGTCTTGGTGCAATATACATGGTGATTATAAGTTGTAGTTGAGCTTGATATTGTGAGCATTGAAGTAAAGCATAGAAGCAGGTTTATATTATGTAACCTGATCTACTACAATATAGACAAAGTTCTTTTTATTACCATAAGTCTATTTTCTTATTATCTATTAATTCAGCTTGCTAAAGCTATCTTCTAGTGTCAGCAGAGAGATTTATACTATTATTAATAGAAAGAAAAGCAGGCTTCTTTAAAACAGAAGATCTAGTATCAAACCTGAAAAAAAGAAGACACATATATATATAAGATTTAATCTGATTTAACTCTTGTATCTGATAATTAATCTTGTGAAGTTGTGTGTAATATTCTTTATAGATTTCAGATGTTGGTATTCTAATAAATCTTTTTATTAATTTAGTGCTCAAAGCTGATTATAGATATCTCTTCTATAACTAGTTATTTATTGATACATCTGATTCAAGAAAAAGACAGTTATACTCAGACAAAAAGATTACAAAAAAAATTTATTCTTGCTTAATTAAATATAAATATTACAGAGCTTTTTGTCAGCAGACAAAATTATTAAAATTTAATCCCATCTACTTAAAGAGTTTCTTAAATATATACTTTATTATATTATAATAAGCTTTAATCTAGAAGAGTATTATCTTGACTACATTCTTCTCTAATTATAAGTTTATATAAACTGCTTAGTTCTGTTTGTTTTTAATAATATATTTGTTAATTTATAGTTTATTTTATAAAATTTACTTTAAAGCTTAAATACAGATGTAAGTTCTCTTTATTAAATTAGATACAATCAGAGAGCTGATAATAAAAGTACTTGATAGAAGTTTTACTGGTATCAGCTGAGCTGCTGTTATTCTGAGCAGCTTTCAACTACTGGTGTAGATTCTTATTTATTTCATTCTAAGTATATTAATAGTTCAAAAAGTTTATAAGTATGTTTTTCTTTATTTCTTTTACTTTTTTCATTACTTTGTAGCTTGCTTTAATATCTAAAGCAGACTCTGAAACTTTAAATATAAGTATTCAATTTGTATTTATAGTTTGTAGTTCTTACAGCTGCTATTAATATCTCAGAATATAAATGCAAGACTGACTTCTTTAGTACTATCTCTTGTAGTTCTGTTCTTTCTATTCTTCTATCTGTAAGCATCTATTTTGTAAAGTAGGAGATAAAGCAATATATAATATCAGCAGTTAAGCTGAAGCTACTAGCTAGACTTTACATATACAGGCATATTACTTAAGAGAGGAAGAAGAAGAAAAGTAGACAAGTGTGTGTATAATATATTTACAACATTTGTGTGTATGGTACTAGGCTAAAAATAGAAGTAGAAACTAGACTAGAAGAAGAATAGCTTTTATTATTATTATTATTATTCATTATAGTCTTATGCAGTCAGTAACTATAAAGACTATCTAGCAGCTTATCTGTTAAAATTTATTTAGTGCACATTGTAGAAACTGAAAAAAAAGATAAATTAAAGTATTTCAAGATAATATAAGATGTTCTTTCTCCACAAAGGTTAAATAACAGATAGTATATAAAATAAATTTCAAAGAAAAACAAAATTCTTATAGAAGTGTGATATAAATTAAAGAAATAAAGTTAACATGTTTGAGAAAGTCACTGTCTAGTAGCTATTCTAGTATATTTCAGAAATAAAACTAGCTATTTTAGGCCTAATTCAGTTTCAAAAATAAAATTTAAAAATAGTTAGAAAATATCAAGTTCTTGTTGAATTTTTCTTCTTTCAGTTTGATAAGCTAAGCAGTCTAGTAGTAGGTACTTTGTATTTTCAACACAATTGCAGAAATAGCATAAGCTGGAAAAGTAATCAGATAATCTTATTAAATAAAATCTGAAATATCCATAACTAAGCTTCAATTGACAGATAGTTGACCATATCTTTTTAGATATAGAAAGAGCTAATGCTTTCCATCTGAGTTTTTTTTTTAAATTAAGAGTAGTAATTTGTATAGCTTTCTCTATTAAAGAGATCTTCATACCACTTTATCATTGCTTGTTCCTTTATTTGTTTTTTTATATAAGTAAGAGATATATATCTCTCTGAACAAACTTAATTTAATTCTGTAGCTTTTTTTGCTACTAGATCAGCTTCTTCATTTCCATGTATATTTACATGTGCAGGGAACCCAATGAAGATGTAGATTAAGTAGAAGAATAGCAGTTATTAAAAAGCTCAGCTTAAGATCTCTAGCACAGTATAGTATCAAGAGCTGAGCCTGAGAAAAATAAGAGGTTTGACTCTCTTACATTAGTCTTTTACAGAATACTTTATGTACATTAATAAACTTCTCAAACAAAGAAGAACATCTTATCAGCCAAAGCTGATTAAACCTTTTATAGGTAAGTAGATAAATATCTATCCCCTTATCTGGCTGCTAGGCAAAATTAGTGCCTTGGTAACAGATCACAAACTATAGTATTAGTGATATTTTTCTAACTAATAGATTTACACACTAAAATATATAAGAATCTATTGGTTAAAAACATGTTTATTGGTTTTTGTGTTGATTTTCAAAAATATGTTTTCACCTTCAAATCTACTAACCCTCTACCACTACAGAGTACAATAGTCAAATATGATCTTATTTATTCTCAAATTACATTGCCAGCTATGGCAGTTTATGCCTGGTGTTACTATAAAGAGCAACAGGGTTCAAATGAAGAAAGGCTAGAGCCCTAGATCACTGCATGGTTGCTCAGCTTATATAGTAACTCTCTGCCTCAAGGACTGTTGCTGGGAAAAGTTCCATCCTATGGAATTGTAATATAACCAAAATAGGCTTAGCGAGAATAAATTACAGGTTACCGCCAAATACAGCCAAATACACCGGTTTCCAATAGAATTCCAGTATTAAATACGCTATTGTACACGCTAATTTCCACGCTAATTTTGCCTGGCGGCCGGACGAGGGGATAAGAGGGACGAGGGCCTTGTCTAGCTAGATTCTTTTCCTTTCCTTCCTCATCACTGTTCTTCTCGGTGGATGTACGTACGTAGATAGTGGCATAGCCCAGTCGATCGTTCGTGGCCCGCTTCGTACGAAGACCGGTTCTTCCTCCGTAGCTCGCCGCCACATTGAGAAAGCCTCACACACCCACTGCTATGCAAACTCCAGGCCTGAACAATGCTGTTCCTCCCCATTCGCCCGTCGCCTTCCACATCGGCTCACTTCCTGGAAATCACGTATCACTCTTGAATCGCTGAGTGATTCCATTACTGCTCAAGAGACGTGCTAGAATAGCAAATAAATAAATTATGCAAGTCCAAGTCACTGATGACTCAATTTATCCTTTCTCAAAACCAAAACATATAAAATCAAGGAATAGAAAGGGGAAATAACAAAAAAAAAAAAAAAGGAAATGAAAATATTGAGAAAGCTCAATCTTCTCTCAGAGTCTCAGAACATCGCCCATCCTGAATAAGAAGTTCCACAAGATGAATATACTTCTCATCGCCAGCTCTCCATTCCCAGCCCCGCACAATGGCCAGGGCTTCCTGAACACGTTGTTGAAAATGTTCCTCACTCTCACTCTCCTCATCTTCAATATTGTCTGGTAATTTTGGGAACACATATCTTGACAGAAACTGAGCAATATCAGAGCAGATAGGATGCCGCTGCATACCCAATGGCAGGCTGAGGAGTTTCTTGATCTTAGAGAGCAGATATCTTTGTGGATTTGGGACCAGTGAGCTTTGTTGCAGGTTGACAGCAGATGGGACTCTCACGCAATCATCAAGTGACAGGAGCGTATAGGACAGTGGTATGAGATGGATACGCATTGCAGCATAATGGTGCATTACACCTATCATCTCTCGCTCACCATAGGCTTTTGCGCGGGACTCCAGAACACCACCAAGTGGGATACCATGCTCCAAGAGGGTTTCTGATGCTAGAGGCAGCTGTGAGTCTGGGATAGCCCATTCAAATGTCTATAGACAGGAACAGTCAGCATGTCAGACACGACCATTTAATGTTACAAGAGAGGAGGAGGAGGAGGAGGCAAAGAGGGCTACCATTATCACAGCAGGATATCCAAGGCGGAGATGAAATATCTCGCCATACTCCACCAGGGGAATGTCCTTTTTATTCAGCGCCTTCTCAACAAGGCCCAGAGCAGCAAACGGATTCAGCATGTCAAAAAGGCAAGGGTGTTTGGTTTGAGATCAGTCGAGGCGTGCCTAGGTAGTTAAAGCCAGCAGCGGTCTTCTTCAAAGCTGAAGAGCACCATCAGGTTGCAGCTTAAGACCGGAATTTTTGATGACCCGGACCCCTTATGTAGCCAGGGTGGACCTTGGAAGTCACGTGATGCTTATTAAGCAGAGCGCACCTTTACAAAAAACAGTCACATGCATGTATGGTATTTATAGTACTGAAGATGTGACCTCTTTAGTCAGCATCATGTGACTTTTATGAGGTCCGCAAACTTTATTTCTGAGGTTCCATGATCTGTATCCTTTGAATTTTTTAGGTTATGCGCCCAGAAAGCACTGGTAGTCAACTTTTTGCATCACATCACAGTCACACAAGAGCACACATCAGAGGACCTTGTAAATAAAGTTTGCGGACCTCAAATATGTCATGTGATGCTGACTAAAGAGGTCCAACCTTCAGTACCATAAATACCATATGTGTACCTCTACTGTTTGCATTTTCAAATTATAGTTTTCTTCACATACATTAATTAATTGGGAATTGATTAGCAATGTCTGCTTCATTTAACTATAGATCTGCCATCTGATGACCAACCTTTTGTGGCTAATATCCCTTCATCTGACGCCCAGAATATAAATAGAGATGGCAGTATTAACAGGATATGAGTCAAAATGCCTGATAGCTGTTTGTCAATTGATTAACAAGTGTTTGGCAACTGATTAGCAGCCGCTTGCCAACCAGTTATGGAATAACCTATCTTTGCCTGAAAGCAGTCCGTTAAAGTTTACCCGGCAGAAACCCCCCATAGTGCAGAACAACAGACTATAGCATCTGTATAATCAGTCATTAACTAACTGATTGGTAACTGATTAGCAAATGATTGTATTACTTACTATCATGTACTCAGGCAGAACAATCTCACCTAGGCTAGTATTCGGGATCGGAACAGGATCATATTTCCCATTGAAGCTGGTCCTGGTCCTGAATTTAAAAACAGCCAAGATTCCAAGTATGAAACCTCAGTCTTCTATTCTATTCTACTCAAGAGCTTAAGATCTTTTTTCCATCTCTGTTCTATAAAGTATTTTCCAGTCCCATTTTCAAGTAGAAAATTATAGTTAACATTCTATTTCAGAAGAGAAAATAGACTTTTATTTTCTAGTTTCAGCTGTATTTATAGTAAGACTGAGATAAAACTGAGTTTTTCAGTTCTATTATATAAAATTTATAGTGAAGAGTTTAACTGATTAAATTTTGTATAAACTATTACTAAATTTTATTACTTTTTTTAAAAAGTTTACAAGACTATAAATTATTATTATTATTATTATTATTATTCATTATAGCCTTATTAAGAAGTACCTAGCAGCTTCTCTGTTAGAATTTACTTAGTATACATTGTAAAAACTGAAAAAAAGAAAAAATTAAAAGTATTTCAAGGCAATATAAGATATTCTTTTTCCACAAAAGTTAAATAACAGATACTACATAATATCAATTTCAAAGAAACACAAAAATTTTTGTAGCATTATAATATAAACTAAAAAGAATAAAATTAGTATATTTGAGAAAGCTATTGTCTAGTAACTATTTCAGTATATTTCAGAAATTAAACTAGCTATTTTAGGCCTAATTCAGTTTCAAAAATAAAATTTAAAGATAGTTAGAAAATATCAAGTTCTTGTTAGATTTTTCTTCTTTTACTTTAATATGCTGAGCAGTCTAATAATAGGTGCTTTAGGTTTTTAACATAATTGCAGAAATAGTATAAATTGAAGAAGTAGTTAGATAATCTTATTAGATAACATCTGAAATATTCATAATCAACCTTTAACTCTATTTATAATTAAAGTTTAAGATAATTTTACTTATATCTTGAAGATTATAAGAGTAATAAGCATAATATTTCATCTGCAAACTAATAATCAGACTAAGAGACTGGATAGTATACTGAAGCAGTACTTGTAAAGCTATATCAATTATAATTAAGATAACTGAGTAATATAATTGTCAATGGCTGAGTTTGTGTATAATAACTTACAGTAGACTTTCACACAAAAATCATTTTTCCAGCTGATATATAAATTGAATCTGCAAGTAAACCTATTGAACTCTAAATAAGTATAGCTATATATACAAGAATTTAAGAAATTAGATGAAGGCAATGAGATTACTCTATAAAGAGATTAAGAAATTGCTTACAAAGACACAAGTCTATTAGAAGAAGCACTATAATCAGAAGAATATCACAAAGATCTTTCAAATAAAAGACAAGATATAACTTGATCTTTGTAATATCAAGATCACATAGTTTAATAAAAAACTAAATTTGTTGAGATATAGATCTTGTAAAATTATAAAAAAGATAGACTTGCAAGTCTACAGACTGAAAGTATCTTTAGATCTGCAAACTTATAATATTTTTTATATATTTTTACTCTACAAACACAAAATCTGTAAAGAAATCAATAGCTCATCTTATCATAAAGTTCACAAGACAAATAAGAACGAAAAGAAGTATTGAATCTATAAAATAATTAACTCAAAGAAAAAGAGTTGCAAGCTGTAGTACAAAGTGTATTAAAAAGATTATAATAATAAGAACAAGATATGAGTTTCTGCAAGCAATATCTGTTCACTAAAAAAGCTACTTCAATAATTCTGTAGTAGAAATTCAGCCAAGCCCGATTTGTAAAAGAGATGAATAGAGATAGTAGAGCTAGAAAATAAGTTAGAGAGAGAAAAAATATAGTTTAACTAAGTCATATTAAATTAATTTCAAAACAAAAGATGAAAATTAAGTTAAATATTATATAATGTAGAGTCTTTAGCTTCTTCTGCAAAAATCTGTAACAATTATTTATAATCTCACTGCTGGAAAGAGCAAGCAAGAAACCTATAGTATAGATAATTATTATACTTTTAACTTAAGTCTGTGGAGATGTACTTTATAAAGACTACATTACTATAGTCTTACTAAGCTCTCTTGCAGACAGAGCACTTCTGTTCAGATAATAACTGAGCTCCAGCTCTAGTTACAAGAATATTCTTATGAAGCTGGGTGCAAACAGTTTAGTTTGAATTATCTAAACTAGTAATAAGTATGAGTCTTTCAATAAACTTATAATATCATAATTTTCTACAAACAAATAAAGCTTGTACTTCTGTGTGAGAAAGAAGATCTGAGAAAATTATTAGATTGACTTATAATATATCAGTAAAAGTAGCAGCTAGCAGCATTTGAATGAAGATGATCTAAAATTATTATTATCAGTCTTGTAAAAAAGATGCTAGATAGTTCCACACATCTTACAGAACCACAGCACTTACAAACTTTACTAAAGTAGAGAGAACAATAATAATAATCTAAAGAAGATTAGCTGTAAACTGAAATATAATAGAAAATACTCACATTCCTGACTGAAACTAGTATAATAACTGTAGAAAAAGAAGATAAAGTAACAGCACTTTAACTTCATCAGTATACAAATCAAGATCAGCTTGCAAGAAAACACTTACAGCTTGAGCTAGCAAAAGAGAAGCAGTAACTAATAAAGAAGAGAGAGAGAAAGCAATAGCATTCTAGAACTATTAGTTATAAATACTTTCTGACTTCTTGTAACTACTTATTAAAGACTTAATCTTATCTGCAAAAAAAAGGTGGAAGTTCTTCTAAGAAAGAAAAGCAGAAACAAGTTGTAAGAGAAGAGAAGAGAAGACTGTATACTAGTAAGAACTTCTAGCAAGTATCAGTCTTTTTGTAAATCAAACTTCATACAAAGGCAAAATCTTATAACTACATAAAGTAAAAACACAATCAGAAGTGAACTCACTACCTTGTGGTCTTACAGTCAGATAAGCAGAGTATTAAGATATAGCTATATTTTCTTCCAGAAAATCAGAAATCTCTTACAAGCCTGCCTTTCATGCAAAGCAGTACTTGAAGAGTTTACTTATCTTGACAATAATAATATAAACTAGAAAAGAAAGAGAAGAAAAAGTAAGAAAAAGAAAAAGTAAGAAAAAGATTTCTCTTAAACTAGTGTTTATTATCTAATAATAATACAGAGCTAGTGAGAACAATAGAGACTCTCTATATATTGTTGTGTTATTGAGTTCTGTTATATTGTTATGTTATTAAAGTTGTGTTGATATTATATCTCTAGTGAGGCTGTACTCTTTTTCTGATGAGGAAATTTTTATTTTTTTTAAGAGGTTTTTTTTCCTACTTATGAAAATTTTAATAAGACAGTCATTTTAAGAAATCAAGACTTATAAGAGAGAGAAATTTGTAAGAATTTACTGCAAACTTCTTATACAAATAAACAATATCTGCAAGTCAAAAACCTTAGCTTATAAGCTATTAAGAATTATATGTGTTCTTATAAGACTCAAACTCATGTGCTTGCAAGCACACATAAAAGACCACTACTGTACAAATCTCTTGCTGAAAGCTAGTGGCAATCTTGTCTACAAGTTGTATATAGTTGCCACAATGCCAGATCTTTTATCTCATATACTTTTTTCCACATATATTTCTTCTAGAGATTTATTGTCATGCCAATCTACATGTATGATCCTCACAATTAAAAAACACCCAGATGTTTGATATTAATCTTGATTGAGACTGAGAGATAGAACTTGCTAATTTAAATACTTTATTTATAGCAAACAGTTCTGCATTAAAGACTTCAAGATATTTGCATGAACTTTATAAGAATCTAATTTTATCTTGTAGATTGTATACACCAGCATCAGTATATTAATTTTCTGCAGCTTTTAATTCATCTGAATAAACAATTAAAGAATCTATTATCTAGATTTTTAATTCTATTTATATGACTATCTTTAGCTGTTTTCTTGTTTAATTCTTTAATTTGAACATTTATTAAATCAGGTAGATTTTCAGATCAAGATGTATTTTATTTTGCTTTGATTCTCTCTGTTTTTAGAGAAGATAATATGTTTAAAATTATTGACAAATTCTGAATAGTCAATATGGATAGCTTTTTTGTTTTTGATTTTTTTTTTCT